AGATCATAAGGGGGCACCCAGAAGAGAGATCTCACAAACATGCCTTGTGTGACAGCATCCCTAACCATCTGCCTGGCCTGGGGAGGAGAAGCCACCAGCCACCCTGTCTCTGACAAGTCATGGGATCAAATGCTCTCTTGGCCTGGCTAAGTCTGTATTTACAACACAAACTGACTAATTAGGTAAAATAACCTAAGACTGAGCTGCAAGGCTACAGGATCTGCCCAGGTTTTCCCCAGGGTCAGGGAAGATGATCACCACTGAATAAAGCTGAAAGGGACAGGAAGGGATAGAGACCAAGCCTGGGTTCTATTACATCCGGGATCGTGTTTGTTCACACAATGGCTTTGCAGGGTTTGCACAGAGCGTGGAGGGCTGTGGCAGGGAAGCATCGAGAGTGGGCACATTGTGGGGAGGGGCCGGGCTGTGTCAGGGGAGGTTCCCAGAGGAAGGGACATGCAGGGAGGCCTGAAGGCCAAGTGGAAAGGAGAAGAGTGTTCTGGCAAGGCTGGGAGGAGGAAGAGTCTGGAGCCTTTGAGGGGTTGGAAGAGATGCAGTTAGAGGTTGGTAGGGCTGGGGGGACCTCTGAGGGGGTTGCCTTGATCCTAAGGCAACAGAAAGCCACTGTGCAGTCTTATCCAGGGGGTAATTATATCACTGTGGTAGCTGAGTGGAGAAGAGTTTGGAATGGATGAGGTTAGAGGAAGGAGCTTCCCTGGTGGCCTCCATGAGGTGAGATGCTGGCCTCACCCAAGGAAGGGACAGTAAGATGGAGCCAAAAGGTGGGATTTGAAAGACACGAAGGAGGTGGAGCCAACGGGGCTTGGACCAGGTGAGGGGTGAGAGGTGAGGGCTGCATGTGGCTGAGGATGGATTTGTAGGAGCACCTTCACAGATAGGCTCAGGGTAAGGCAGAGGAGCTCAGAGTTGGCTGGGCTGGGCCTGAAAGCTCTGGAGATGTCCAAAGTAAGCAGCTGAATCTGCTGGCCTGGGGCTCCAGGGAGAGACCTGGCCTCAGGAAAAGATCAAGACTCTTCAAAGCCATGGGAAGGGAAAAGAATGTGTTTTCCAGTCTTTCTAGGATAGAGCACAGGGCCTAAAGAACTTGAATATTAGACACCAGAGGATGTTCTGCCAAGGGAGGCTGAAAAAACAGTCAATAAGATGGGAAGAGGCACAGGCAACAAAGAAAAAATAGACAATGGAATTCATGAAAATTAAAGTTTTGTGCATCCAAAGACAGTATCAACAGAGTAAAAAGGCAGCCCACAGAATGGGGAAAAATATATGCAAATCATATATCTGATAAAGAATTAATATCCAGAATATATAGAGAACTTCTAAAAGTCAACAGTGACAAAGAAAACAACCACATTCAAAGGACCTGAATAGACATTTCTCCAAAGAAGAAATACAAATGACCAATAAGCACATGAAAATATATTCAGCATAACTGATCATTAGGGAAATGCAGATCAAAACTACAATGAGGTCGGGCACAGTGGCTCATGCCTGTAATTCCAGCACTTTGGGAGGCCAAGGCGGGTGGATCACCTGAGGTCAGGAGTTCGAGACCAGCCTGGCCAACATGGTGAAACCCCATCTCTACTAAAAACACAAAAATTAGCTGGTGGTGGCTGGTGCCTGTAGTTCCAGCTACTCGGGAAGCTGAGGCAGGAGAATCACTTGAATCCGGGAGGCGGAGGTTGCAGTGAGCTGAGATCGTGTCATTGCCCTCCTGCCTAGGTGACAGAGTGGGACTCCATCTCAAAAAATAAAAAACAAACAAACAAACTACAATGAGATACCATCTCAGACAGATTAGGATGACTGCTCTTTGAACAAAACAGAAAATAACAAGAGTTGATGAGGATGTCGACAAACTGGAGCCCTTGTGCTGTGGGAGACAGTATGGCAGTTCCTTAAAAAATTAAAAATAAAATTGCCATATGAAATAGCAATTCCACTTCTGGGTACCTACCCGAAAGAATTGAAGGCAAGGTCTCAGATAGTTGTGCACTCATGTTCACAGCAACATTATTTACAATAACTAAAATGTGGAAGCAACTCAAGTGTCCCTCAGTGGGTGAGAGGGTAAGCAAAATACATACAATGGAATCTTATTCAGCCTTAAAAAGGATGTAAAATCTGAAAATTTATGAAAAAAATTAAGAAAAAATTCTGAAAATTCTGAAAAAAAATCCTAAAAAAGAAGGAAATATATTGTAACCTGGATGAACCTTGAGAACATTATGGTAAGTGAAATAAGCCAGTCACAAGAGGACAAATATTGCATGAGTCCACTTATATAAGGCACTTAGGATAGTCGAATTCATCAAATATTGTATGATTCCACTTATATAAGGCACTTAGGGTAGTCGAATTTGTAGGGATGGAAAGCAGAATGGCAGTTCCCCGGGCTGGGGGAAGGGAGGAGCGGGGAGTTAGTGTTTAATGGGTACAGGGTTGTAATTTGGGCTGACACAAACGTTCCTGACATGGACGGTGGTGATTGTGGTACCACAGTATGCATGTGCTTACTGCCACAGAACTGTAGGCTTAAACCATGGTTATGATGGTCAGTGTTATGCTCTCTCAGCAAGTTCCCCAGACTTGCTCGGGATGAGGCCATCTCCCAGGCCCTCGGGCCTCTGCTACCACTCTTGTCAAATCTCAGCATAAGGACAGAGCCTAGACCAGGTCATGTAAGCCATTTATTGGTTTGTTTTAAAAATATGTATTTTATTTATACATGAAGTTTGGTGAGAAGTGCTCTATTAATTCAGACAATATCTGGCACTTGATGTCTGTCTTTCCCTCCTTTTTCCTACTCTCTTTTCCCCTCCTGCTGATCATCGTGCAGTTCTGGAAATCAAAAAAGTGACAGCCAGGCTAAAAGCTAAGGGTTGGGTCCGGCTCACCCCTGCCCCCAGCCACACCGTCTGCAGCCAGCCCCAGGCACCTGTCTCAAGGCTCACGGGCTGTCCACACACATAAAACCACAGTCTCCTTCCGGCCAGCTGGGCTGGCAGCCTGGCCTGCCTCCCAACCGCATTCTTGCCTGTGCAGCGGGCGGTGAGCGCCCAGCAGGGGCACACACCTCTCCAAACCTTGAGAGCAAAGCACAGAGATCTACAAAAATAGGATTTCCACTTGGAGAAACGTCGCTGGGACAGTTAAACCATGCCCCACACTGGACTCAAAGGGAACACAGGAGAAGAGAACTAGATCTGTCGGGGGCATGGGTCGGGTCTGGGGTTGTCACCAAGGGAACTGGGGTGACAAGAAGAAACATAATACTTTACTCGCCGGCAATGCCCCCCTTCAGCACTGCCACAAATGTCCAGCCCTCCGACAGCTCGGCGAGGTAGGTTAGGAGCAGCCAGCCCAGAGCGGGCAGGTGAGACTGAGGTGGCCTGGGAGGCATGCGCCTGATGGAGGGGCTCTGTGGGAGAGCTGGAATGGGGCAGCCAAGCCCCTGCCTGCTCAGGCTCCACCAGTTGACCCTGTCACCCCAGGGTGACAGTTCTCTATGTTAAAAGATTTGCATATGCTAAATAGGATTGTCAGCAGCTGAAGAGGTCCTGGGGTGATTGGACTAGTAAAATATTTTTCCCTGAAAAAGCCTTTTCACAAGACCTATAGGACCACCTGGACCTTGTCCCAAATAGGCCCTGTGTGTGGGTGCCATCAGGATCCCGGGCTGAGCCAGAGAGGCTGGGCCTGACCACAGTGCCCCCTCTCTCAGAGGAGCCATGGTTCATTCCCCTCTCAGGGCACGAGAACTGGGCCTGACCATCCCTTTCCCTGCAGAGGGCACAGGGCCAAGCTCCCCTCCCCACTCCCATGTCTCTGTGTCTGGAGGGGAGCTGGGGACCACACAGAAAACTCCTCTGCACATGGTCCAGAGAACCCTGGGAGATGGCCAATTTTCTCTCTTCAGGTAGGCTGAGGGGCCACCGTGGCTCAGGGCCGGTGAACTTCTTAGCCCCAAACCCACATGGCTCAGCCTTCTCTTCCCTTGGCCTGTTGGGCAGGGCCTGCCAGGTTCCAGGAGCAAGGACAAGCTGTATGCCAGGCCGTGAGTCGGGCTGGCACCCTTGTGCCCTTTGGTTTTATGGTTAATACTCTTATGGGAGGGGAAGAAAAGGCAACTATCAGTGCCTAGGGCCAGCCCTGGGACCCAGGCCACTCTCCTCTGGAAGCCTTTTATTTTTGTAGGACTGACAATATGACCTGCGTGAAAACGCAGGGGGAAAATGGGACCTTGGAGACAACAGAAAGCCAGAGTGAGCCCCGCGGACAAGAGCCCCATCCTTGGGGGGCCGGCAGGGAAAGGCCTGTCTCCCTTAGAGTGGGAGTCTGGGTCCCATGGCCTGTGTCTGGCCTCCATGTGTGAGGACTGTGTGTGTGTGCTTGTGTGAGTGGGGGGTTCAGCCCTCCCAGCATCTCAGGTCAAGTGGGAGCGGGACCTCATTCGACCCCTGGGCAATGAAGACCTGTGGGAGCCACACTGGATTCCACTTCGGCTTTGAGAACAGAGTTCCGGCTGCTCCACAGACGCTCTTGTTCAGGGTTAAGAAGAGACAGCGTGAATTGCTGCCCATGTCCATGGAAAAATCTTTAGCTCTTTGCTCAAGTAAAAAAATATCAAATATAATAAATTTATGAAAGCCCATTCACAACATATACAGTCTCAATTTTATATTTCGTCTCAGCAGCTGGGATGAAGTTGCTGTCCAGAGCCCCAGGGCATTGCCTGACCAGACCAGGTCACAGGTCTGTCTGAGGCCTCCAGGCACAGGCCAACTGCTCCGGCTGTCCACGCAGCACCACAGAACTCTGCCTGGTTGATCCACGGGGCTGAGGCCCATTTCTTACTCCCAAAGCCAGGAAGGCCCCAGGCTGTTTGTGACTGACTGCATTTGGGTTTGCCGCGGTGCAAAAGGCTGCTTTTTGGTGTGTCCTGGCCAGCTCACATGATGTGTCCAGGCCGAGGCTCACACGATGGACTCACGGTCCCTGTCCGGAGACGGGGGAAAGTCAGCGACATCTTCGCTGTGGCTGTAGTCAGAACCCGGCACCTGGATGTTATCGCTGGTGGCTCTAGTGACACTGTCATAGGAGGGTGGGAAGGAAGTGGAGGAGATGGAGGAGCTGGAGGCTGGGCCAAGGGGCCGGGAGAAGTTCTCATTCATCACATAGGCGATGAGGCCCTCTCGCTCAGGGGCATCCTCTTCGGAGAGGCTGCTGCCCGTCTGCTGACGGAAGAGGAAGGAGGCATGCTTCACAGAGCGTTGCAGCAGGTGCCTGCGGAAGGCCCTCTGGATAACCATGGCTGACACCTCCTCGTGCTTGCGCCGGAGTGTGGTGGTGATGGGCTCATAGGAGATCTTGGATGGGTTGGCTGCCATGAACTTCTCCTCCATCTGGATCTTCAGGGCATCCATCTCCCCAGACTCCCCCAGAACCCTTTTGGTAAAGGCAAAGAGGATGTCCATGCAATGGATGCGGTCCCCACTCACCATGGGCAGGTCCATGTTGATGAGGCTCATCTGGTTGGGCTTGGCGATACGGAGTGGCTCAGACAAGGCATCGGCAAAGTCAGACAGGACCGAATACTCAATAAACTGAGTGGCCTCTGGGTCAAACTTCTCCCAGATCTCATAGAACATGTCGAAGTCGTCCTCACTCAGGGGCTCGGTGCTCTCCTCCGTGGCCACGCTGAAGTTCTCCAGGATGATGGCAATGTACATGTTGACCACGATGAGGAAGGAGATGATGATGTAGGTGGTGAAGAAGAGGATGCCCACAGCTGGGCTCCCACAGTCCCCCCGAGAGCCATTGCTGTTTGGCAGAGTGGGGTCACAGTAGGGGGGCCCGGTGTTGAGGATGGGGCTGAGGAGGCCATCCCAGCCGGCTGACGTGGTGATCTGGAAGAGGCAGAGCATGCTGTTGGCGAAGGTCTGGAAGTTGAACATGTCGTCGATACCAGCCTCCCACTTGACATAAGCGAAGTTGGCCATGCCAAAGATGGAGTAGATGAACATGACGAGGAAGAGCAGCAGCCCGATGTTGAAGAGTGCAGGCAGGGACATCATGAGGGCAAAGAGCAGTGTGCGGATCCCCTTGGCCCCTCGGATAAGTCTGAGGATGCGGCCGATTCGGGCCAGGCGGATGACTCGGAAGAGCGTCGGGGAGAAGAAGTACTTCTGGATGATGTCCGAGAGCACAGTGCCTGTGGGAAACAACAGAGACTGTGGCTACTGGTGGCACCTCGGTCCTCTAGCCAGCATCACTGTGCAGGGGTGGGGGAGTCTCTGTAAGGCAAGGAGCCAAGGAGAGGTGGCCCTTCCAGGAGGATTGCGTCCACTGGGCATGCTAGGATTCTGCCTGCTCCTGCCTGTCTGAGTCTCCAGGTCTGCATCTGTCACCCAGAAAAATGGGTCCTTTGCAGGGTTCCTTCTCAGCCCCCTCATTCCTTAATCTTCAGTGTGTACCTGCACAATAGAGCTGTCCTAGGCCCATCTTCTGTATTTTGGGTTCTCAGGCCAGAGGGGCTCTGCTTAGCATCCTGCCCACCCAGCTTGGACTAGCACTTAGGCCTTTTAGCTCCTTGCTATTCAAAGTGTGGTGTGAGGACCAGCAGCCTTGGGATCTCCTGGGTGCTTATCAGAAATGCAGAATCTCAGTTCCACTGCAGCCTGCTGCATCTTAATACACCCGGATGATTTATGTGCCCATCGAAGGGCATGAAACACTGGCCCAGAAATCAGTGCTCCCTGATGCCACACCATGGCCAGTGTCTTCTCTCAGCCTCTCTGTGATGGTTCTTATCACCCTCCTAACTCTGCCACCTTTGAGGGCTTCACTACCCCTGGGTCTCCAGTGACTACCTGGGTTTGGAGTTTTAAGGGGCATGGATATAAATGATAGAATAAAGAGTGAAATAAACTTGTCTTATATGGCCCAAGTGCCCTTTCCAGACTCCTTATATAAAAATGTCACTGACTGACATGTGTCCAGGGTTTACGGTCAGTGCAGCAATGGGCCAAGCACTTTATAGCCATCATTTCATTTAGTCCTTCCCGTTGTCCTAGGAAGTGAGCAGATGCCATCATTCTCATCTTCCAGAAGAGGAAACAGAGGTGAGGTAACTTACCCAAGTTGCCACCTAGTGAGTGAGAAGCTGGGATTTGACTCAGACATTCCGGCTCCAAGTTCATCTCTTAACCACTCCTCTCTGGTACTGCCCAAACACCGGGCCAGGAGATGATCCTAAAGTACATGCTGCACCTTCCAAAGCCTCTGAGACTGTCCCTCAATGGTTCCATTCCTGTTGCTCACATCCTGCATTCTCTAAAGTTCCTCTCCAGTCCCATGAGACACACTCTCACCCTCACCCTGCTTGAGACCCCCCAGAGATTCCTGACCCTACTCTGTGCTTCCATCTGCCCATCACTATAGCCACAGCAATGCCTGCCTTAGCCCCTGCATTATCCTTTACATTTACCAGTGGCAGAGGTTGTATATGGCAGAAAGATGAAAGTTACAGTCACTGTAAGGCAGAGCCCCATGGGGGTGGAGTTAAGAGTTTGGGCTCTGAGCACAAGTGACAAAAGAAAAAATGTAAGTAAACTGGACTTGATTAACATTGAAAACTTTTGTCCTTTAATAGACACCACGAGGAAATGAAAAAACCCACAGACTCGGAGAAAGTATTTGCAAGTCATATATCTGATAAGAGACTATGATCCAGAATATGTAAAGAACTCTTACAACTCAACACTAAAAACAGAAATAACCCAATTAAAAAATGAGCTAAGGATCTGAATAGAGATTTCTCCAAGGAAGATATATAAATGACCAACACGCACATGGAAAGATGTCCTGCATCGTTAGTCATCAGTCATTTGGTTTTGCAAATCAAAACCTCAAGGAGATATCACTTCACACCCACTAGGAGGGCTCCCATAAAAAGAATGCAGGCAATAACAAGTGTTGGTGAGGGCGAAATAATCGGAATCCTCATACATTGACAGTAAGAATGTAAAAAGGCACAGCCAAATTGAAAAACAGTTTGGTGGTCCCTCAAAATTTTAGATAAGAGGCTTTCAGGGGCTGAGGGAGAGGGGAAATGAATGGGGAGTGACTATTAAATGGGTAGAGTTTCCTCTGGGGAAAGGAAAATATTCTAAAATTAGATAGTGGTGATGGTTGCAAAGCTCTGTGCATATACTAAAAAACACTGAAATGTATACTTTAAAGTGACTTTAAAGTTAACCATGAATTTTATGGTATGTGAATTATGTCTCAGTAAAGCTGTTATATAAAAAAAAAGATCTGAGCTCTGAGGTCAAACAGACATGGGTCAGGATTGGGTCTCTGCTTCTCCCTAGCTGTACAATCTCCCTCCTTTAGTGCTGAATTGACTGGGTGAATTGCATGAGGCAGGTATGTCTGAAAGAGTCTGGCATACACCTTGGCGGTTAGCTCCAGAATTTTCCATCTTCAGGGATAACTTCTACTCTGGAGGGCCACCTACCCCCCATCCTTGGGGACCCACCTCATCCTTAGCTTCCTTCTCCTTCAACCTAAGTGCGGGCAGAACTAGCCTCCACAGCACCCACTCCCATTCCCAGACTCATCCTTGAAGCTATCTAAGCAGTTAGAGAACTGTGTTCCCAGGTCCTCTGGAGGGTGGGGCCAGGAGGGAGTGCTGGGTCCTCTGCCAGGTTGGTCTCCTTGACCCAAGTGGACCCTTCCAGATAAGTTCTCTCTGGAGAGGTGTGTGTGTGCATGTATGTATGAGGGGAGCGGGGTGAGAAATGCACTGAAAAAAGAATGAAAGAACCTAGGGTTGTACGTGGCATTCAGCAGAGACTCAGGGGCTGGACGAGAGGCCTGGCTGGGGAGGGCTTCTGTCCAGCTGACTTGTATACCCACCCACGATGGAGAGGATGACAACCACGAAGTCGAAGATATTCCAACTGTTGGTGAAGTAATAGTGGCGCAGGGCAGCCAGCTTGACAATACACTCGCCTGTGAAGATGGCCACAAAGAGCAGGTTGATCTTGGCCAAGATGTTGATTTTCTCAGGACTTTGGTCATCTGTCTCCACCATCATGGTCACCATATTCAAGCAGATCAGAAACATGATGGTGACATCAAAGGCCTGCTTGGTCACAATGTCGAATATGAAGCCCTGGTACTTGTTCTGAAAGGAGAGACAAATGGAAAGCACTCAGCAGGGCCCTTGGGAGACTGGCAAATGCCCGTTTCTGCCTCTCATCCCAGGTCACCCACCCTCCCACTCTACCCTCTAGTGAGCCCAAAACCCCTGCCACACTGCCACAGAGAGTGCAGAGGAAAAACTCCTGGAGGTTAAAGCCATTGGCTCTCCTGCTGAAATGCTTCCTGGGCTTCAAGGCCCAGCTCCAAGGCTCCATCTTCCATGAGGACTTCCATGACGGATCTTCAGGGAGAGATTTTTCCTGCCCTGAGCATCCTTAGCATACTGTCCACTGTGCTTCCCTTTCAGTTGCCACAGTCTGAAGGCTCAAGGGTAAATTTCAACTTCAACCCTAGTAATTATGTCAGTGCTTAGATTAATATATTTTCTCTACTTTTGAATGTAATTTATTTTATTTATTGTACTAACCATATTTACATGTGTCTTTAATTGTAAATCAGCCCAGATTATTTGGGGAAAGAAATAAGATTTTTTTTATATATATATATATATATTTTTTTTTTTTTTTTTCTGTTCTCCCACTTAGAAAAGATTATAAACACACACATACACACACACACACACACACACACACACACACACACACTTTTTTGGATAATGGCTTGATTGGGCCAAGGGAGTCAGTCTTTGAGAGGACCCCACTCTCCAGAGCTCTTGGCTCTCCCCACCAGCTAACTCAGGAATCCGGCTCCCTGACTGTTCTGGGGGTCCAAGGATGAGGCTCTGAGTGGGGTGGGGTGGGGCTGTGAAGGCTGCCCTGCTTTTCCCGAGGAAAGCCTGCATCCTTGAGGGGAAGGAGGAGACCTGCTCAGAGACAGAGGGTTCCTGTGGGAGGAGAGTGTCCCGGGATGCTACATCCTTCTCATACCTTCCTCCCTATCTGTATGAGGCTGGGACCTCTCTTCATGCTCAGACATCTGATAGCGTCCCTCAGGCTGGGCTGAAAGACTGTGAGGCGGCCCTGATGGCTGGCCGTGTGGCATGAAAGCTTCCCAGGGACCCCAGAAGATCCTCCCCACTCCCCCAGAACCAGGAGCTTAGCTCACCAAGGGCCGTGGGATGGGCTTCTGGGGCTTCTTGGAGCCCAGCTTCTTCATGGCATTGTAGTACTTCTTCTGCTCCTCTGTCATGAAGATGTCCTGGCCCCCTAAGTGCAGAGAGAAGGCACCAACCTCATTCTGGGGTTCTCAGAGGCCCCAGCAGGGAGGGCACCAGGATCTTGCCTCCTTGATGAGGATGCCAGGGTCAACCACTTCCTGGCTTCCTCTCCTGGACAAAATATGTCCCTATTTTGCACCACAGATTCTTCCCCAAATCTATTTATCCAGGAGCCCTGTCCCCTTTCACCTTGAGATCTCTCTGGCTTTATGACCTGCAAATCCAGTATCCACCCCCCGCCCTTTCCCCCTCCCAGCTCAACCAGCCTTCAGGTTCTCTCTGTTCACTTGGTTTGTCTACAACCCAGTTATAGCCGCTCTGATGAAGCTCTGGGAAGACCCAGGGCCTCTGCACAGGCCTTACCCATGACCTCTGATCATGGACCAGGTGAACAGATGCAGCTCTCACACCGGCTTCTCCCAGGAGTCTCATCTCTCAGGTGGATTAGGGCAGACATGGGGCCTCCCACCAAAGCCCCTTCTTATGTTCTTACAGGCCTAGACATGTTACATCCCTGGACACACCCTTCTCCCCACCTCATTCCAGCAGCAGCAAGAAGAGAACCATCCCCAGCAGGGAAGGTGAAATGGGGCCTGGAGCCCGAATGGCCCCTCAATCCCCTGGCACCCAGCCCTGCTCTGCCCAGCCCAGCGGGGAGCTGGTGCTCTACGTATCTTTTTCTTCTGTTGGTTGAAGTTGTCAATGATGACACCGATAAAGAGGTTCAGGGTGAAGAAAGACCCGAAGATGATGAAAATGACAAAATAGATGTACATGTAGAGGTTGTATTCCCACTGGGGCTGCTCTTCATACTGTGAGGGAGAAATCACACAGGGAGATCAGACAGGCTGGGGTCTCGGGGGTCACATGGGGAGGGGTGGGGGGTGGAGGCGGAGGGCTGGCTAGGGGCATCCATTCTGTGGGAGAGAGGGTGTATCGAGAGGAAGGTCACTGGCCCAGTTATGTGAGTCTGTGGCCAGAGGTGGATGGGGATAGAGGTGAGAGGAGTGGATGGTGGCAGGTGAGGACAGCAGACATGCTGGGCTCAGGGCTGGCAGAGTATCAATGCCTGGCTCCGGCCCTGGGCCAATGGGAGGCTGGAGTACATGGGGACCTCTTTCAGTCTTCACTGAACTGTCAGTGTGACCGGGTGGGGTGCTGGACAAAGAAGAAGCTTGATTTGCATCTCTGTTGCTTCCACCCCATCCTCCTGGGGGTAAAAGTCAGTAAACTACAGTGAGTTTAATTAAAGACATTTGAGAATTTTGGGACTTTTTAGGAGACCAAGCAACCTGGCCCCAGAGCCAGGCTTGGGCATTCCAGAGAGGTTGTACTCCAGAGTGACACGAGATCCTGCCCTTGTGGGCTGGGCTTTCAGATGCAGATGCTGATTCCCTGGTGGCCAAGCAACCAGAAGCCTCAGGTGCCTGACTTGGTGGAAGGGGCCACTGTGGCAACCTACCCCCCTGGAGTCCACAGCTGCATACATAATGTCCATCCAGCCTTTAAATGTTGCCTGGGAGGAAAAGACAAGATTAGGACAATCATTTAATTCTGCACCTCGCTTGAGTTACTTAGGGCTCTGGTCTGGACGGATGAAGCCAGAAGCAAGCTTCTTATGAAAAGCAAGCCACCCTACCTCACCCCTTCAGCAGCATCCAAATGCCCAGGTGGTCAGAGAAAGACCTTGTTTAGGGCTAGGGGTGGAGGGGAAGCAACTGAGCGGATGCCCCAAGAAGGCCATGCAGCAGGGAATAAGCTTCTTGATTGAGGCCAAGAGTCTGAGGGGGCTTGCAGGAGGTCTGTCCTTCAGATCCACACTCATTTCCATTTCTAAAACATCACAGAATCCTGCCAGCGATTCTGTCAGGGAGACAGAGGTGGAGCTTAGACTCTGTGTTCTAGACTCCAGGGCTGACCTGGTCCCTCTTGTCCTATGTCTCAGAGAACCATGTGGCTTCTGCTCCATGGACTTTCAAGGGAAGTTCCCGAAGAATCTCAACCTTCCCTTGTACTTAAGGGGGTTCTTTTGTCAATGGTGTGTTGGTAAATAGTTAACAGCTGACTTCCCAGAAGAAAAGAAAAAAACCCTGATTGTTGGTTTGCCAATTTCTCTTGTGTAAATATTCCCACCATGGTTGATTTCAGGTTACCAATGTGAAGTTACTCAACGGAGTTGAGAAGAGATGCATAGGAGCTTAGCATTATGGTACTCCCACTATACAGACAAACTAGATGTAAAAAACCTCAAAAGCATAGATGATAACACTAAAAAGTAATGATGAATCTTGAGTGTTTATTACCTTTGCTTTAATATCATTTAGTTAATTTTGTAAGTTTATAGAATTAATTTTTTTTAATGGCTATGTTTAATAAACAGCTTGCAAAATTTCTGAAAATGTAACGATGAGCTCTTGTGAGCTGGCACAAGCTGGCTCCAGCATACTACACCAAGGGAGAAAAGAGGGGGGATGAACCAGAGAGGGCCCTGGTGCTGGTGGCACCAGCCCTAGTCTGGGCTGCTATGCAGAAAGAGCCCAAGAGACATGCTTGGTGGTGAGACTGACTCCCCAGTGAAGTCTCATTTGTGTTTTTGGCCAAATCCAGTCCTGTCCTGCCCCAAGCCTCTTTTTTTTTTTTGAGACAGAGTCTCACTCTGTCAAACAGGCTGGAGTACAATGGTGTGATCTCAGCTCACTGCAACCTCTGCCTCCCGGGTTCAAGTGATTCTCCTGCCTCAGCCTCCTGAGTAGCTGGGATTACAGGCATACACCACCATGCCCAGCTAATTTTTGTGTTTTTAGTAGAGACGGGGGTTTCACCATGTTGGCCAGGCTGGTCTCGAACTCCTGACCTCAAATGATCCACCAACCTCAGACTCCCAATGTGCTAGGATTACAAGTGTGAGCCACCGTGGCCAGTCCCCAAGCCTCCTTTCTAAACACAAGTTCAGTAACACAAACTTCCTGTGTCTAAGAATTCTTATGAGGCAGGTAAGGCAGAAGGGGAAGCTGAGGTCGCCCATATTAGGCAAGCTACTCCAGCTCCCTGTACCAACAGGCCCTTGCCTATAAAGATAGGCCCGGAAATACTTTGGAAACTGCTGGGGACCACCCAAGGGTATGAGATACTTATGACTGAATTCTTCCCAAACACCGAGCAGCTGTGTCTGGAAAGGTGAGCAGTTGTTAGTCTACAAAACGAGGCCTTTTATTCCAAAGTTCCAACATTCTGAGGGACAGTTGCAGGAACAGACAGATCCTTGGGTTTGGCACTAATCTACCGTTCTCCAGTAGGCAGTGCAGGTGAGTCTTTGTGGGACTACCACTGGGGCTTAAGGGATGGGTGGAGGTGTGAGTGGATGCCTCAAGTTTCCAGGTAAGAGTCTGCTGAGTTTTCCTCTGCTTTGGGAACCAGACACAGGTGTCTGGGCTTAAGATTGGAATAGCAAGACAAGCAAGTTGTAGCTTTTTGCACTGTGGTTCTGCTGCATTAGTCAAGGCTAATGGTAGGTTAATTTTATGGAATGTGCTATAATCACGGAAGCCATCGTACTCACAAAATCAATGAAAACCCTAGAAGGATTGTGTGTGCTTAAACATTGCACATCAAAGATGGAAATATGTTCTTTTAAATAACATAAGAGCTAACACTATCTTTTATAACAGAGGGTGGCCACAGTCACAACTTTGCTAACAGTTCAGTTCCTGAGTAGTCTATGGGCTTTCATTTTTTAACCTGTGCCATCACACTGCCTAACTGATAGCCTGAAGAGGTCAACTTGACTACTGGCTGGGGAGTTGGTTCTATAGCACCACGGAGCCATCCCTATACTCTGCAATTTGGAGAATGTGGTATTGGTTCTAGAACTGAAAGTCTGGGGATTTCCCAAGGAGCCAAATCCCTGGAGAGTCCTGAGTCTCCTTTGGGCACTATGATTCTCCTGTGAAGATCCAGCATGGCCCCACTGCCCCACTCCTGCCCACATCATGGGTGATGGCCATGCTGCTTGACAGCTATTGGGAGGAAGGAAGTCCCTTCTCTCCAGGACTTACCACCTGCAGAAGGGCCAGGTACCCGGCCCCCACGTTGTCAAAGTTGACTTTCACCTTGGTCCAGTATAATTCTCCGGTCATGTTCAGGGACTCACACTGGCTCTTGTTGTTCACGATGGTGTAGTTCAAAGGCAAGTCTCCCTCTGTCTGGTTGATGCACCTCCCAAACTTCCCCGCGAAGAGGTTCACGCCCATGATGCTGAAGATGAGCCAGAAGATGAGGCAGACGAGGAGGACGTTCATGATGGACGGGATGGCGCCCACCAGGGCATTGACCACCACCTCAAGTGGACAGAGAAGTGGCTCAGTTCCTGGGGGGGCCCAAAGCGCATGCCCTTTTCAAGACCCTCCCCTACGAAAGAATGAACTCCCTGGCTGCAGGGGGCTGTGCAGGTGGGTGTGCAGATCCCACACTCATGGGAGAGGCCAGCTCCATGGCTGGAAGCCCTGGTGGGGAGTGAGGGGAGTGCACACTAGAGTCTGGTGTGGCTTCAGAACATCTGCTTTCCCTTCTTGGCCCTGCCCTGAATCTGTGATCTTTAAAACCTGATTTTCACCACAGTGTGTGCTGGTTGAGGATGCCAGCAACTTGATGGGAAAGACCTCTCAAAACATGTCCCCAAGACTGGGTTTCCTAACAATCCCAAGAGTCCTTACATTTTTGGAGCTAAATTCCGGTTTATTTTAGGTTGTTGCTATTGGGATGGATGGGTGTTCTCCCCTGAAGTAACCCAGGGGACCTCAGTGCAGTGTCTAGAGGGTGTTGTGGCAGTTCTCCAGTGCTCCCATAAGAGCAGAGCCAGAGAGCAGGTGGCATGGGCACTCCCTGTGATACCCGCTCCCCAGTGAGGGGCTCTCAGATCCCATGGAGCCACAGCCTCATGTTCTGCATCTAAACTCAGAGCACCCTGTAGAAGATTCCCTAGTAGAGGCATTTGGGACCCTCCACTCCACTCATGGACCAAGTCCCCAGCTGTCCATGCACCAGGAACACAAGCGCCACACAGACTGGAGGTGAAGCTGGTGTGGACCGTGTGGTGTGGCCCAGATGCCAGGTTGGGGGATGCTGTTCCCCAGAAGGCACGCTGAACCCTGGAACAGGGTGGGAAACAAGCTCTTAGGGCACCAAACATCTGGGTGTAGAGTGAGGCGGGGAAGCCCTGGGAGTTTGCCCTTGGCTGGCTCTGTGGCCAACGGCCACTGCAGAGGCATCCCTGGCACCTAGTGTCTCCTTGCGTCCCTCTGGAATCAAATGTCCTTGCTCCCAAAGAGATATTTAACTCTGAATAATATCTTGTGGATGGTTTCCCACCAGGAATGAGCTCTGTGTGTCTCCATGGATTGGGGGCGTGGGCAAGGTTCAAAGCCATCAACCTGAGCTGTGTGTGGTGCCTGCTGGGTCAGTGAGAGACAAACAAACATGTCTTCTGAAGCCACACAGAACTGTGTATGTTTTGTTAAAAAAAAAATACCCCACACAAGTACACACAAACACACACATGTGTATTTGTTTTCTTGCTATATATCACGGCTGATGTTTTTCTTGGTGGGCTTTCAAATCTGACTTATCTGCTCTTATTCTTCGGTAAAATGTGGTGACTTGAAAAATGCTTAGGGATCTGCACTAGAAAAATGGTGCACAGGAGATCACTAAGCACGTGGTCATTTCCTGTACAGCCTCTGTCTGATGCTGGGAATGCAGCTTGCTCTATGCCTCTTCCCTCACCCTCCCGACCACAGCCCCACTGCCCATCAGAGGGCTGGCAGCCTGTGTCTGCCAGGAGGCAGGGTATGCAGAGGGGCACACCGAGTGGGCACATAGAGATGCAGCCCCACGGGACAGCAGAAGCACAGGGGCCCTGGTGCCAGTGGCCTGGGGTACAGCTGAGACCCCTGTGCCCAGCAAGTCTCTTGCTTCCTCTCCTTTGTCCAGTGCTCTCCCAGCCCTCACAGGAGCTCACAGGGCTGGAGGGTGAGCCCTGGAGGTGGGTTCTCACAGCTGCCTACCCTCAGGGTGCCTCCATGTCCAGTTGTGCCTCTCTTGGAGGTTCTGGGCCATGCTCCTACCAAGTCAGCCTCAGCCACAGTCTCCGTGGCCACAGGACATCAGAAACACAGGGAGGGGCCCTGGGTAGCAGTGCGCTGGGCCTGCGGGTCAGCAAGCTGAGGCTGGGGGTCCCTCCGTGGGACTGCCTCCCACTCCCTGGTGGGAAGGCAGCCGCCTCTCTTACCCTCATGCCCTCAAATCGTGACAGAGCTCTCAGGGGGCGGAGTGCACGCAGCGTCCGCAGTGACTTGATGGGGCCCATCTCGGCAAAGCCCAGGGTGTTGGCCACCAGGCTGACCAGAGAGACCTGGGGGAGGCAAAATAGAAATGGGGAGGATGGGAACAGCTCCCCACTGTTGGGGACAGACAGTAGGGCTCCTGGCCCTGCTAAGATGGCGCTGGGTGCCAGAGAGCCACAGGCCTCCCATGTCCACTCTTTATTAGTCCTGGGGTGGACTGTCATCACAGGCCAGCTCTGCACTGGGCCAGGCTTCCCAGAGCCCAAGCTGGGGCGAGCCCAAGAGTGTCCTGGCTTCTGGGCCTTTACTGAGAGGCTGCTATGTGCACTTCACATACATACTCTGTAATAACCCCACTAACCCTGCGATGTTGCGATGTGTCACCTCTGTTCTACAGATGGGAAAACTGAATTCCAAAGCCACTTCGCTGGTGTGGCGGAGCAGGGACACAAAGCCTAGGCTTTTGGTCTCCACATTCTTTCCTTCAATTCCAATTCTTGGACCTATCTCCTTCTTCGCCAAAGAAGCCTTTTTTGAGGAAGGAGAGACAGTCCTGGGTTGAGTAGGAGCAAATAGACAATTGCGGGGCATTTCCCCAAGGCCAGACTGTGCAGCATTTCAACATCTTCAACGGAGGAAAGCAAAGGTGGGGACTTGGTGGCACCAGGAGCCTCAGCTCTCTGTTCCCTCTGGCCCACCCCTCCCAGGGCACTTCCACTCTGTGGATTTTGTCCTTCTAAAGCTCCGTGGGTATCCACTCCCTTCTTACTTCACCACTGGCCTGTGATTACAGGCCAAAAATGGCCTCCTGCCTGACCTCCCCTGTAGTCACTATTCACACTGCCCTGGTGCTCAGGCCAGCCTGGGGTTCGGAGAGGCTGGGGGCAGGGGCCTGACTCCCACAGCCTCCTCCCAGGCTTGGCAGCACCAGGTCGGAGGGAGCTGAGCAAAGAGGCTGAGGGGAGGAAGACACGCCAGATTGATTTTGGTGTTGCCCACACTCACCTCTCAAGGATGCTGGGCTATGGGCCCTCAATCCTGGAGAGTCAGAGGGCATCTCTCAGGGACCTCTCCTAGAGAGCAGGACCTCCAGAGTGCCAGGTCCAGCTGGTCCGTCTGCCCAGTTCCTAACAGGCTGCCTTGCGGTCTGTTCTTTGCAAAGCTTGCCCCACCTGCCCCTGTGATGGCCTCCCGTCTCAGGTGACGGCAACTCCATCCCTCCAGCTGTGCAGGCCACGATCCTTGGCGTCCTCCCTGCCTCCTCTCTATCTCTGACACCCTGTGTCTAACCCGTCAGGATTTCCTGTTGGCTCTGCCTTCAAAATACATCTGAAGTCCAAATATTTCTCACCACTTCTACTGCCACCATCCTGGCCCAGCCTCCATTGTCTCTCCCTGGATCATGGCCTGAGCCTCCTAACTCTTCTCCCTGCTTCTACTCATTCCTGTCTACCCTGGCCTCCATGACTGAGTGAGCCCTAAAGAAAATCAGTCGGTTCACGGCACTCTTCTGTTCAGAGCCTTCTAATTCTGCCCCGCTACCGCCATTTCATTCTAAATCAAAGCCCATATTTTTTCAAAGGTGGCAATCTGGCTGCATTCCCTGCAATCTGGCCTCATCTCCTGCACTTCCTTCTGCTTAGTGGCTCTAGCCTCCCTGCATTTCCCCCAGTATGCCAGGCGTGCTCTCGATACACACCGTCCTTGCACTGCTCTTCCAACCTCTGCTTGGAACGTCTGCCAGACACTGGCCTAGCTAACCCCAACTTCAAACCCGCTCAAATGTTACCAAAGTGGGCCTACCCTGATCATCCTATTTAACGTGGTAACCTGCACCTTCCCCTCCACCCTACCCACTTCCCTTCCCGAGTTCTCTTTGCTCCAACCCGCTCAAATGTTACCAAAGTGGGCCTACCCTGATCATCCTATTTAACGTGGTAACCTGCACCTTCCCCTCCACCCTACCCACTTCCCTTCCCGAGTTCTCTTTGCTCCATGATAGATACCACTTTTCCACATAATGTAAAAGTGGCTTGTTGATTATGCTGATTGTTTGCAGCCACCTTCCTCCATGTGGGGAAGCGTTCTTGTTTTGTTCCCTAAGATCCCCAGCACTATAACCATGCTTGCACACAGTAAAGACCCAAAAGCATTTACTGAAAAATAATGCAGAATTCTTCTTGGAAATATCCTTCCCTAGACTCTGTCATGGGAGACAAACTTTCCCATGAAGCATGTGGATGGGGTAGAGGCACAGCAGTGTGGCCAGTGTCAGGAAAGCTGCATTCCATACCCACTTCCTTCTGCTCAGCCTTGGGCAAGGCCTCTCCCTGCTGTGAGCCTTGGTTGCCTTCTCCACAGGCTTCTTCTCCTCTCTTGGGCCTGAGCAGGGAAGCACTGCCAGTTCCCTTTCCCCTGCCTTGGCTCTGAGCTCCCCAAGGTGGCCAGCGGCTGGTGGATGGGCTTCTGCAGATGTCTGTGCAGATTCCCTCTGGCCTGCCTTGCGGGAGACCCTCAGCAGACCCAACTGCCCAAGATGCTTCAGGAACAGCGGATCAGGGAGCCTCAGGGCTGAGCGGCCAGGATCCCGGGCCCTCCCATGTTCCCTCAACGGGGAGTCCTCAGGGGCCTCTCCTTCATCTCAGGGAGGCTCTGAGGGCTGGGCCAGGCAGCCCAGTGTGTCTAGAGCTCTCCTCACCCCTCTTCCACCCACAGCACACCCTCACCCCAGCATCAGCATCCTCTTGGCCACCTGGGGTGATAGGAAGAGGCCTGAACTGCAGGTCCAAGGACCTGGATCTGCATTTCTGCGCATCCCTCTAGCCCAAGGTGCCTCTGCCACCACGGCCACCCACACTTTGACTTCCCATCCAGCCTTGGTAGCCTCAACCTGGACTCTGGCCAGGCTTATTGGGGACTGAGCCTCTGAGTGGGGTATGGAGACCGCACAGGCCTGAGCCTGTCCTGTAAGCACAGGAAGGATAGCTCCTGCTGGTGTGCAGAGCCCGATGTCAAGGCCGGAAGCCATCAACAAAGCCTTCTGGAAAGCCCTTTTCAGTCTGCAGATCCTGACCCCCCATTCTGTTTTGTTTGATCCCCAGAGAGGTCCCTCTGCCTGCACCCTTTGCCTTCTCTTTCTTTGTCCTCAGTGAGTGCAGACCCAGAGCTGCCCTGCACCGACCTGTTTCTCCCTGCTTGGTTCCTTTCCCTGTAACCCTGCATTCATGCTGCCTGGCACCCAGCAGTGTCTTGGGGCCTGGGTAGCTGTGGGGCAGGGGCTTCACACTCCATCTGCCAACCGGGTGTTCAGAAGCCACGCTGACCTCCTGCCCCAGGCCCTCCTTGGACACAGCCTGGGCAGGCAGCCCTCACAGCTACCTGATCGTCTAGGGCAGCAACCCAGAGCCCCCGAGCCAGTGTTCACGGCTTCCTCCTCCTCTGGGGTGACTCCACCCCTCTCTCATCCTCCCCAGCCAGTACCTTCTCCCTGAGCTGGAGGCTCTCCCCTGCCTGCCCAGCATCCCTTCAGCAGCCTTCTCCCCCTGGCATGTGTGCATGGAGGCTCTGAACTGTCCCCCTCGTGTGTGCATGGAGGCTCTGAACTGGCCATCTGTCTAGTGGGCCCGATGGACACTTACAGTCTGCTGTGGTGTGTGCTAGAGCACAAGCTTGTCTGCTCACTTCTCTTTCTGGACCCTGAGCCCCCAGCCCCTGCCCTGGCTCACACCCCTACCTTGACTACTCTCGAACGATCTCCCCTAGAAGCAGGGGCCTAGGTCTCTGCCTGCTGTGGCTGCAAATTGGGGGCTCTAGAGGCAGGACCCTGTCTCCTATTTCTTATCTTCCTCTGAGCCTGGGAACCTGAGGACAAGGCCTGAGTCTCAGACTCACATCCTCCTTCCTCTCTGTCTGTGCTGCAGCACTGCCTCGTGCCTCCCCTTCAGCCTGCTGGCTCCCACCGGGCCCTCTGCCTCACCTCCTTCTCCCACACCGGCAATGGGGTTCCCCTTCCTGTTCCCTTCGGGTGCCCACACTCACATCCACGATTAGGAAGTCGAGCCAGCACCAGGCATTGGTGAAGTACTTCTTGAAGCCGTAGGCCACCCACTTAAGCAGCATCTCCAGCACGAAGACATAGGTGAACATCTTGTCGGCATACTCAAGCAGAACCTTGATGGTCTTCCGCTCCTCCAGGTAGATGTCCTCGAAGGCCTGCAGACAAGGCCGGACAAGGCGGACATGAAGTCTGGACCACTGCCGATTCCACCCTGCACCAGACACCGTTTCGTTTCGTTTCTTTTTTCTTTTTTTTTTGAGACGGAGTCTTGCTCTTTTGCCCAGGCTGGAGTGCAGTGGTGCAATCTTGGTTTACTGCAACCTCTGCCTCCCGGGTTCAAGCGATTCTCCTGCTTCAGTCTCCTGAGTAGCTGGGATTACAGATGCCCACCACCACATCCAGCTAACTTTTTGTATTTTTAGTAGGGAAGGGGTTTCACCATGTTGGTCAGGCTGGTCTTGAGCTCCTGACCTCGTGATCCACCCACCTTGGCCTCCCAAAGTGTTGGGTTTATAGGTGTGAGCCACCGCACCTGGCCTAGGCACTGTTTCTGACAATACCTCCTGCTGCCCAGGAGAGCAGGGAAGGGGTGAGGAATGCCGTGGACAGGGTTCCTCCTGGGCAGTGTTGGACTAGATGAGAATGCCCTCCAAGCGGGGCCTGTGCCACTGGCAGGCCATCAGATGGCCTTACATGGTAGATGGATAGTAAGGCGAATGAATGGTGTGATCCCCTCTCCCTGCGCAATAAAGATCAAGTCTGAGTTTTGGGCTAGGCCTTTCTAAAACTTGCCATTTTAACAAGGAGAGAGGGTATGCAGGCTCAGCTCACAGCTTTCTGTTGGAAACAACATAAAATATTTTTTGTTTTCACTCCATTTTGCTTTAGCTTTGTTTATACGGTTACTTAACTTTTCGTGGGAAAAATATTGGTTTCCAATTAATAATAATGATTAAGTTTCACTTTACAAAACATTGATTTAAATAAGCAAAAACCAATGAGAGTTGATGTAAAGCTGAATTTTAAAGAAATTAGAGTAAAAGTCATTTGTAGATATGATGTTTAGGAACCACAGGTGTAGATAAAGTCAAATCTGCAGTTCTCAGGCTCTAAGAGTCAGTTTCCAAAATCCTAGGAGTTGTAAGTCTTTCTCCACTTCCTCATTTCTGCCTCAACTCAAATTCCTGAGCTGACAGAGAAATTCCAGTGGCTCCCAGATGGCTTCTACCTCCAGCCTACTGATTTGTTCCTGTTTCTGTCTCTGTCCAGAGTGTGCTCTGAGGTTCCTGTCTAGGCAACTGAACGCGTCACTAGGGCTCTGGGGGAGCTGCCTCCACCTCCCACTCCTGGGCCTCCCTATCCGACTTCAGGGCCTCTGTGAGCGACAGTGACCCAAGAGACCAGTGCTGTTGGCACTGCCAAGGCATACATATGGCTCACTGGGTCACTGTAGACGGCACAACAGGATAATTCAGCTCCCAAAATGGATTTTGGGAGTTGTTCAAGACTTTTTTTGTGTGAGTATAAAAATGGGTGCATCTTATAAAAATTAAATAATATGGAAATGATAAAAAAGAAAGTAAAAGGCATCTCTAATTTCATGACACCAAAGTAACCACTGCTAACATTTAGGTGAGTATTATTTTTGACAGTGTGTACGTGTGTGCACACACAATCACCACAATTTTATGAGATGCACTAAATATTTGCCTTGAAATTACTTTCTCCATCAAACAATATGTTGTGAACATTTATCCACTCAATAATATGAATACATACAATAATATCTATCACTATTTTAAAGGGCTGCATGTTTCATTATTTGCATACACTGCTATTTATTTAGCCAATAACCTTATTAATAACGCACATTTCGGTTATTTACAGTTTATCTCTAGTAGAAATAAAGTTGCATGAACAGGGGATTGTTGAGGATAAATTGGGTTGCCAGGCGAAAGGTGCGCTTTTGGTACAGTCTGGGAATGGACCTCTCTGAAGGCAACACCAATTGACACTCCATCTCTGGGCCAGGAAGGGGGCTGTTCTCCACCGCCCCACCGACATTGCTGTCACTTCTCCTTTTTCACTTTTCCCAGCCTCATGAAAGAAACTTGTATTTCGTTACATTTTCATTTATTTTATTAGAAGTGATGCTGACATCTTTTCTTTGGATATTTGCTGTGTTTTTTGGGGGAATTACCTCTTCATATCCTTTGCCTATTTTGTACTTGGGTGTCTGGTTTATTTGGGAACATTAACTCTTTGTTTGGTAACACAAGCCTGGGTTGTGGCACCAACCTGCCTGTAAATCTCACTTGCTTTTGTTTACCATACTGAAGTTCTAGGTACTTCATTTTCAATTATTATATTGTTTAATATTATCATATCATTTATTATAATTTTCATTTAGTAAAATTTTTGGTGCTGCATTTAGAAAGCCCTATTCCGAGGCTAGGAAAAACTGAGCTTCTGAAAACAATTTTTGTGGTTTCATTGATTTACATTATAATTTAAAACATTAAATATAGTTTGCTAGGGAGTAAATATCCATTTAATACTTTTTTCCAGAATGTGGCTCATCAAATGCCCCAACACTTTATTAAATAATCCCCTTAAAATCCACTGATTAAAAGTCAACTTTATCATATAGTACATTTCTCTATTTACTTAAATCTACTTCAGATCTCTTTATGTGGTTCTACTGTTCTCTATCTATTCCTGAATTAGTATCACATGAATTTCCCTGGACATTTAAATGATTTTCAGGATAAACTTTACCAACGTTTTGTCAGATTTCCTCAGAAATGTTGCAAACTTGTTATTGCATTGAATCTACTAATTACTTTAGGAACTAATATGAAGTCTTCCTACCCAAGATGAAGGTATGTTTATCTATTTGTTCTGTTTTACACTGCTTGGCAAAGTTTTACAGTTTTCTTTATGCATCTCTTATACATTTATTATTATATTTATTCCCAGTTATTTTATGCTTGCAGTGCTTGGCATGTAAGAAATATTTGAGAGATGTTACTTGTGACTAAATGGTTTCTCTTAGGATAAAACAACAACAATAGCAACAATTCTTTGCATATTTATTTCATAACTGGCTATATAATGTTTTTAAAATAGGTTTAAATTCTTTTCTAGGCAATCATATTATCTATAAATAATGATATATTTCTATCATTTTTAACTCTTGCTTTTATACTTGACTGGATTAACTTCAATTATTTTATTACCCAACTTTTATATCATGTGTTCAATTTTCTTAATTACACTGGCTATAATTCAATACTATTATTAAATAATGAGCAATAGCTAAAAAGGTAGTTAAATCATCCTTTTCTTATTCTTCACTTTAATGAAAACATTTCAAGTGGTTTTACTACTAATTATGATATAAGTTAATTTCAGAGTCAGTTTTTTACTAAATTGAGAAAACACAGTTTATTTCTTTTTTTTGTTCTTTGGATTCAGTAGAATAAAATATATTTTATTTCTATTCTTACCAGAGTTTTGAAAATCAAGTATTCATTGAAATAATTATATGGCTTTTCATCTTTGTCCTATTAATATAGTTTTCCCAATATGGTACTATTTTCACATTTTAGGATATGATACATTTGTCATATGATGTACTCAATCTTTTTTTTTTTTGAGAGGGAGTCTCTCTCTGTGGCCCAGGCTGGAGTGCAGTGGCGCCATCTCGGCTCACTGCAAGCTCCGCCTCCCGGGTTTATGCCATTCTCCTGCCTCAGCCTCCTGAGTAGATGGGACTACAGGCGCCCACCACCACGCCCAGTTAATTTTTTGTATTTTTAGTAGAGACGGGGTTTCACCGTGGTCTCGATCTCCTGACCTTGTGATCCGCCCGCCTCAGCCTCCCAAAGTGCTGGGATTACAGGCGTGAGCCACCGCGCCCGGCCTAATCTTTTAAATATATTTCTAGATCGTATCTGCATGTATTTTGTTTAAGATTTTTGCATCACTAATCAGAAGTACGGAGTATGAAGCATGAAAACTGGCCTAGGTTTTTCTTTTGGTATATGTGAAGTTTTAAAAATCAGCACTATTTAGCTTTAAAAAAAACAATTTCTAGGCCGAGCGCGGTGGCTCACATCTGTAATCCCAGCGCTTTGGGAGGCCGAGATGGGCGGATCACCTGAGGTCGGGAGTTCGAAAACAGCCTGACAAACATGGAGAAACCCCATCTCTACTAAAAACGCAAAATTAGCCAGGCGTGGTGGCGCATGTCTGTAATCCCAGCTACTCAGGAGGCTGAGGCAGGCGAATGGCTTGAACCCGGGAGGCAGAAGTTGCGTTGAGCTGAGATCATGCCACTGTACTTCAGCCTGGGCAACAACAAGAGCAAAACTCCATCTCAAAAACAAACACACAAACACACACAAAAAACAATTTCTAGACTTTCTTTTTTCATGCACTAGAGTACTTTAAATAGCATTGGAATTATTTTCTTCCTTGAGAATGTGAAAGAATCTGTTTTTGGAGATGTGAGAAATTCGATGAGCTAGTGGTTATCAATTTGGTTGCTTTACATTTTCAAGGAATCAGCTTTGGAATTTCATGTCAATTTTACTATTTATTTTCTAATTCATTAATATATGTTTTTATTACTGCAGATCATATGGGGCAAAGAAAACATATTTTTATTTTATTAATTACTTGCCTAGGTTTCTTTAAGATTATTTTGTTATATTTTTAATTTCTTGAGTTAAATAATTTATGTTCTTTCTATTTAATAATAAAAATATTTAAGTAATGAATTTTCCTTTTATTACAACTTTGGCTGTATTCTACATGCAGTATTCTCAATACTGTTATTTTCTAGTTTTTTTCTACCAGTCCCAGCTTTTTCTCTACCTCTACACTTTTCTTATTTTTCCAGATCTCACGTGGACAGAATTAATGGAATCTCAATCTTTGATTTCCAGCACACTATCACCTTTGGTGCATGAATGGCCTTCTTTTGTTAATTAGTTAATCAATCAATTGAACCCCCTTAAACTACCACCAAACTATTTTCTGTTTGATCCAAGGTTTTACATTTTAGCTGCTTTTTTTTTTTGGGGGGGGG